ACGACGCTGTCCTCTCTCGTAAAGTGTGGTGGACATTCTCCGGGGGCATTTTCCGGGGGCACTCTTTGTTTTCTCGCGAGTGGAGCGACTTTAATATCTTAAAAAAGTAAATGTGGACAAACATCCCAACATCAGCGTGTCCCTGCCGAGGAACGGGGTCTTGAGACTCGCTGGTATTTTCCTGGACATATCATTTATGTTATTGTTGTTAGCATTACTACGATACTCGTGCAGTGCGATCACGAGGAAGCGTTTGATGGTGACGACACGTAGGGGTAGGGTGGTACAGAGATTCTTCTCTTCCAAGTTCACATTTCGAGCGAACAGTGTTCACTCGCTCGGCTATTCTCAGTTGCCCGCACTGAATCAATAAGTGGTTGTTCCACATTCCCACGGTGTTCCCGGTGTTCCCGTGGGAATGTGGAACAACCCCGATGGTGCTCTCGCCCCCGCCTCCCCCCCCCCCCCCCCCCCCCCTTCCATGATCAGCACTCCCTTGCAAAGGCGTTGCTTCCCTTCTCCGTTGTCGGAGCCTAAGTTCGCACCCCGACCCCGGGCGGTGTGATGTTCCTGTGGATTTTTCTGTTTTAACTCCCCCCGTACCCCGTATGACTCTAATCTGCCGCTGGTTAACGCGGGGCCGCTGTGAACGTGACACGACTGACCATAGAACAACAACACGTGCATTTGGATTCCGGTAAAGTAGGGTCAGTGCCGGGGCTATACGTACTCGTGGCTGGTTAGCTGTTTGGTTAGGTAGGTAGGGGTAGTATTAGGGGCTGGTTAGCTGTTTGGTTAGGTAGGTAGTGGTAGTATTAGGGGCTGGTTAGCTGTTTGGTTAGGTGGTTAGGGTAGTATTAGGAGCTGGTTAGCTGTTTGGTTAGGTAGGTAGGTAGGGGTAGTATTAGGGGCTGGTTAGCTGTTTGGTTAGGTAGGTAGGGGTTGTATTAGGGGCTGGTTAGCTGTTTGGTTAGGTAGGTAGGGGTAGTATTAGGGGCTGGTTAGCTGTTTGGTTAGGTAGGTAGGAGTAGTATTAGGGGCTGGTTAGCTGTTTGGTTATGTAGGTAAGGGTAGTATTAGGGGCCGGTTAGCTGTTTGGTTAGGTAGGTAGGGGTATTATTAGGGGCTGATTAGCTGTTTGGTTAGGTAGGTAGGGGTTGTATTAGGGGCTGGTTAGATGCTTGGTTAGGTAGGTAGGGGTTGTATTAGGGGCTGGTTAGCTGTTTGGTTAGGTAGGTAGGGTAGTAGTAGGGGCTGGTTAGCTGTTTGGTTAGGTAGGTAGGGGTAGTATTAAGAGTTGGTTAGCTGTTTGGTTAGGTATGTAGGGGTAGTTTTAGGGGCTGGTTAGCTGTTTGGTTAGGTAGGTAGGAGTAGTATTAGGGGCTGGTTAGCTGTTTGGTTAGGTAGGTAAGGGTAGTATTAGGGGTCGGTTAGCTGTTTGGTTAGGTAGGTAGGGGTTGTATTAGGGGCTGGTTAGATGCTTGGTTAGGTAGGTAGGGGTATTATTAGGGGCTGATTAGCTGCTTGGTTAGGTAGGTAGGGGTAGTATTAGGGGCTGGTTAGCTGCTGGGTTAGACAGGGGTAGTACAAGGGGCTGGATGGCACGGAGATTAGGGATAGAGTCAGCGTCATTGAGAAGGCTATAACACGAGTGGCCTGGTTCGCTCGTTGGCTCGTGTTCCACCAAGTGGTTGGTTAGATAGTTGTCGAGAGTGGGACTGGTTGCGGTCTTGCTCGTCGGGCAGGGTAACGTGCATGCTGAGCGGGCCCCTCGCACAAACCGCAGACGTATGCGGTTCGTTTGCAGCGGCCGCCCTGGTTATTACTGCGCGGGTGCATTAACCACAACAACTACCTCGCCTGGTATGCAGGTGGTCGTGGGTTCGATCCCGACCCTGACGTCTGCTCTATATTTGGAGTTTGCGTCTCTCTCCCCGTGGTCACGTAGATTTTTCTCCGGGTCCCCCCGGTTTTCCCCTCCACAATTAGAATCACTTTTGAAAAAGAGCTAAATAGCTCGGTGGGCCTTACCTGGTGAAATACAAAAAATAGTTTTTAGTTTTAATACTACGTTGCCGTGTGCTTCACAGTAGACTTTGAATGATCCCGTGACGTCGTTCACAAGAGTAGGCCATTGTGTCTGGTTTTTAGTTACTCATCCTTCCCCCGCACCTCCGATTCGCACGGTTGGCTACGCACGGTGCGAAAGAAGTTCAACTTGCATAAGTATATACGTCATGGGCCAATTTGGAAAAAAACGACACCGGCAAATTACTCAATTGGGATGATTCACAGCACCCATCACCACTACCTCACTGCTACACAAAAATACGGCAAGTTCCTGCTGAAAAGGACTCTTGAGACACGGTGAGGCTTTCCTGGCTGAAACAAGCGTAGGAATAATAATAGCTTATGACAATTCCGAGTGAGCGAATACTGTGTGCGATGCAAGTTGAGCATATGATGATGATTATTATTAATCGTCAGTGTTTGGCTGATTTTTGTTCGTGGTATTTCCAACTTCATTGCCATGGCGTTGATTCGGGGAAATCGCGTGCCGTTATTTACACAGTGGGGATGGGGGCAAGATCATGAATATTTGCAGAAAAGATCTAAAACGCCACCCCTAAACCCACCTAAACCCACCAAAATTCACCCACCCACCCAAAAACCACTCAAACTCACCCTCCCAAACCCATTAAAAAACTAACCCACCCAACCAATCACACCCACCCACCAAAACTCACGCACACCCGTCCACCGAAACCCACCCATCCACCCAAACTCAGAAAACCCACCCACACAGCCACCCTCCCACTCGCCAGGCATGGCCCATCTAAGCCCCCAGTTGCTCCTCTATATTTATTGCGGCTGCCCATCTCGTGAGCACCACTGACTGAACAGGACATCATCCCGCAACTCCGCATTGCCCACGGTGAGGCCAGGTACTGGCGCGGTTTCATCGCGATGCAAACAAGTTGGCGCGGAAAGCGAGCTGTCGTTGGCTGACACAAATACAGCTTTCTGGCAGCTTTCTCGAAATCTAAGTTTGCAAGACCATGATTCTACACTGAGCTGCACTGGTCGGCAGTGGTGAAGTATGGTCAAACAACCCGCAATTGTGAGGGGGGGGGGGGGCTCAGCAGTGGTTGTGACAATGCATGATGTAGACGTGATGATGGCCTGTAGACTTGTGGACTCACGCGTTTGTATTGCGGTCTTGCAGTTTGTTTGTGTTGTGGGGGGGCGGTAGTGTAGCGGTTAGTGCGCTGCTAACGGCCAACACCAGTGACGATTATCTGAAACGAGTCTGGGGCTCCGCTAGGTCGACTCACCTTAAATGTGTATCTGTTGTGGTGTGTAAAAATCGCCACTAGGGAGACAAAGGCGGTCGGGCGTGGTGCTTGCCACTCACCCCCTCGTGTGCCGTGCAGGCCTTCATCGGTGCTACTCGCTAACAGCACTTGCCCCAACAGTCTGTTCAGGCTATACGGGGGATCTTTGTCTTTATGTTGTGTACAGACTGTGTCGTGTTCATGTATACAAAACATGAAATTGTGAAATGCGCCAATGTACGTGTGCGTTGCGGTCAGCAAAATGTTAACCCCCCAAGGTGTGATTGCTTTATTTTCTTGTCGAGAGTAAATGTTGAACGCTGAGAAGTGTCACGTGTCGAGAACCACGTGGGTCCGCGAGCTGATAACTTTTAGCAATGACTCCTCGGTGAACAGTTGTTCGTGAGAAAATCATCGATTATGACTTCACAGCTTTTAGTTCTCAGAGTGTGTTTTTTGTTTGCATTTTGACCACAAGTATTGTGGTGAATGCACACATGATTCCTTGTAAAAAGGTTTCAGTTTTGTTGCCAGAAAAAAGGGGAAAAGCCCTATTCTTATACTCTGCTACTGGCAAAGGAGGTCCCATGATGTAGATGCTTGCCCCGAGCCCTCATTACTTTGATAGTGCATTGTCTTTGAGCTGTATGCCTTTTGGCGTCTTCTGTACGTACGTACACGTAAATGGCGAGAGCAGTGGTGGAGTGGTTGGCCCAAGTTTAATTCCCAGCCACGACTAACGTCAGCGGCGAGTAATATCCGAACTTGGGTTCTGGATTTCTGCTTGGTCGACTCAGCCTTAAATGGGTTAGGGTTAGCAGATTGACTGTAGACAATAACGATGGTGATAATAACTGGGATAAAATGGGGGGGGGGGGGGAAACACAAAAGGGATGTTTCATCGATTTAATGTGATTGTCCTCACCTCCATTCCATCCAACACCCGCAGCAGCACTAGCAGCAGAGTGGCAACAGCAGCAGAGTGGCAACAGCAGCAGAGCGGCAGCGGCAGCAGCAGCAGTGACAGCAGCAAGCGGCAGCGGCAGCAGAGTGGCAGCAGCAGATTGGCAGCAGCAACAGAGTGGCAGTAGCAGCAGAGCGGCGCGTCCTCAAGTAGTTCCAGTGGCCGGAGGGAGGCCGCCCATCCACGGAGGCCCGAGCGGCCATGATGCTGCCCGACGTGACCGCTGATTAGGCGACTGTTGAACGCGAGCGGACAGAGTGCGGTCACGCGCCAACGTTCGGCATCGCCGCGAGGACGTGGCTTGGGGGGGGGTTGAGCGGTAGCGAGATGTCGGATTCCGAATCGCGGTGGCAGCGAGCGGACCCTGGACAAAATCGGAGAGAGAAAGGAACGAAGCGTAAATGGTGGAGAAGTCCACCGGCATTCTCGTGCCGCACGCACACGGAGCCCACAATCACTCGTTGATAGAAGCAGCCACGCCTTCTCAATGTAGAGGAGAAAGACAAAACGCGCTGCTCGAGACCTTCGAGGCTTGCTCGGGACAAATCGATAGCATTCGAATCATTATCGTCGTCCTCATCACTACGGCACGCGGTCGGCTGGAGCGACGAGACGTTGGGAAGCGATTGACCCCAACGGACCGATCGCGTCGGTTTCACGACGTGCGGACACGCCCGGACTTTCACGCGCCTCTCTTTCAGGCTCCGACCTGCGCCAGCGACCGGTGGCCTCGCGCACGAGATCCCGACCGGAACGACGACGACCGGGCGAGGGTTGAGCGGACGACGCACTCGCTTCCCAACTCGTCGGGGGCACCGGGGTCACAGGGGGACCAGCGGCAGGGTCGGACAGCATGCGCCCGCGCCACCACCTCCGCCACCACCTCCGCCACCACCGCCACCACCACCACGAGGACGACCGCCTCCACCGCAGGGAACCCGAGCGCCCGGCGCTGCCGCCGACCCCGTCGCCGTCGTCGACGGCGTCGGCGACGACGACGGCGGCGGGAGAGGGCGCGGCGGAGGCCACGATCGGCGCTCGCTAGCGAGGGTCGGTGGGAGGCGTGGGGGGGGGCGGGGGGGGGGCGCCAAGCATGCTTGCGCTGCCCCACGACGAGACGGCGGCCGAGACGTTCCACGTGGTGTACATCGCGCTGGAGCTCGTGCTGGCTCTGCTCGCCATCGGCGGCAACGTGCTGGTGTGCTGGGCCGTGCGGCTGAACCGCGCGCTGCGCAACCCCACCAACTATTTCCTGCTGTCGCTGGCGGCCGCCGACATCGCGGTAGGGCTGCTCGCCATCCCGTTCGCCGTCACCATCAGCGCGGGCTTCGCGTGCCACTTCCACGGCTGCCTCTTCCTCGCCTGCTTCGTCCTCGTGCTCACGCAGAGCTCCATCTTCAGCCTCCTCGCCATCGCCATCGACCGCTACATCGCCATCCGCCAGCCGCTGCGGTGGGTGTGCCCACGCGCTCGCGTCTCGCGTACCCCCACCCTACCTACCCTCTACCCCCCCCGCCCCGCCCCCAGCACCTATGAAGGCCGGCAAGGCACGCGACTCTGGCCGGCACCACGCACCCACAAACTTTTCTTCTCACGGGAGGCGATGTTTTTGCGCACCGCGCAAGTGTACCCATTTGAGGCTGAGTCGACCTAGGGGAGGCCCAGAATCGGATTAGTATAATGGTCTCCGGTGTTGGCCGTGAGCGGGTATCGAACTCGGGTGGCCGGGTTCGTAGCGTGGCGTCCTCACCAGCTACATTAAGACAAAGATTCCCCCTTCAGCATTAACAAGCTGTTAGGAATGTGCTGTTAGCGAGCACCTATGAAGGCCGGCAAGGCACACGAGGTTGATGGGTCGCCAGCATCACGCTCGGCCGCCTTTGTCTCCCCAGTGATCAACACACACTACAGATGAATTTTGATTTAAAGCTTTCGTGACTGCAGTTGATCACTAAAGTCAAAGGTCCCCCATAGAGCCTTAGCAGACTGTGCTGTTAGTGAAGGTGGGCACGTTACACGATGGGGTGGCGTGACCAGCACCACGCCCGACCGCCTTTGTCTCCCTGGTGGCGATGCTCACACACCGCGCCAGGTACTCATTTGAGGCTCGGGGATGCCCCACACCGGTTCAGATAACCGTCGCTGGGTGTTTGCCATGAGCGGGTATCGAACTCGGGCCGTCGAGTTCGTAGCGCAGCGCGATAACCGTTACGCCACCGCTCTCCCCACTAGATGATCACGCGCACGCACTCGTACACACGCGCACAATTGAACACACGCACGCGCACAGCGTGCGATAATGCACGTGCTCCTAAACCCAACGTGAGTTGTTCAAAGCGAGACCCCTCCCGGCGCAGGTCGCGCTGACACCTGCGGCGCACCGCTAATTGGATCGAAGGCATCAATGGGATTCTCTCCCCCCATACGCCGCCGCCACCCCCCCCCTCCTCCTCCTCCGAACCTTGCCTTGGCTGTGCACGAAGAGGCAGCAGGGGTAGGCCAGCGTCATGAGGCGCGCGGCCGATTGCGCGGGCGGGAAGCCTCGTTTGGTTTGCTTGAAGTTCGAGGAATACGCCCGAGCGCTATTCCTTCGGGACGGACGTTGAAGAATTACGCGTTCAGCGAAAAGAAACGAAAAAATCGACGCGCGTCCTCACGAGAGGTTGTCAAAAGGAAGCTTTGTGGCCTATAATAGAGGGGTTTTTTTTTGGGTTAGATCGCGTAAATATATAAATGTTGTGTCGTTAAAACCCGCCACCACCCGACACAGCCAACTAGCAAGGGTTGTCACGTAAACAGAACGTGGCCAATTCGTCGCTAGTACAGCACTAGTGTATAGTGTAGTGTAGTGTGTAGTGTAGTGTATTGTGTAGTGTGTAGTAGTGTAGTGTGTAGTATAGTGTATAGTAGTGTAGTGTATAGTGTAGTATACTAGTACAGCACTAACCGGTGTGTTGGAGAGCCAAGCCACAAGATTTACAAGCTGAGTACGACGTTTCGCCAGTAATTACAACCAGCTTCATCAGGCGACAGCCAGATTTGTGGAGAAGTCTTACTGTTTCGTTCCTTATATAGAGGTGTAAGCATTGTGATGTCAGAGTGCCGAGCTGACAAAAGATGTCACGGTGTCGTAAAAAACCTCGGCGCTTGCAGCCGGCCTGTGTCTACCAATCTTGCCAGTTCGGATGCAAACACATCGCGCGATTTCAAATTGCTAGCGCTTTCTTTGTGGCGCATACACATGACATGGAACAACGGCCGCCATTGGCCACTGTGTGATGGTGATGTCACCGTGGGGCTTGCGCCAGGCTAGGTGCACTTTGAGGCTCTCGCGCGAAGTGTCGATGGCTCGCTGGAAGCAGGTCACGGGAGAGACCCAGGTATTAATTGTTCAACGAAACGGGACACAACACAAGATGTCTCTATATTAATTAGATTCAGCACTCTGTCGCGCGGGACGTGTTTAGCGGTCATCAGGCGTGTGCAGTGTGTGAGAAGATTTTCTTTGTATTTACTCTCTGGAGGTGACCTCCAGAGGCCAAATTAAAAAGGCTACGATTTGAGACCTTTGAGCAAGAATGTAAAATCTCGGAGCTTGCTCCACGCGGGGACATGCAGGCACAGTGTTTTCACTAAAACGCTCTTGGGCAACTCTTTCAAAGCTAATCGCGTAAAATGCTGAAAGACTTGTTCCTAAAGAGTGAATGTAACTTGCTTCACGATGTTACGAATGACCACCCCTCCACTCCTCCCACGACTGCGTTTACACCTCAACGAAATCCTCCAACGACCTCCACTGTGTGCACAAAACAATCGCCCCCCCCCCCCCCGCTCGCCCAGCCACACTGAGTTATAAATTGGCCAAAGCCCTTGACCGATTGAGCACACAAGTCACTCTGCGGGAACCGCTAACAGCCGGTTTAACTCGGAGCCCCATTTAAATAAAGCGACCACAATCTGGAACGCGATGCTGAAAATAGGAACGTGAACTGCGTGACATGCGGCCCGTGTCCACCTCTCCCCGTGTCTGCGTGCCCCCATGTCCCCGTGCCCCCGTGTCCCCGTGTCCATGTATCCCCGTGTCCATCTGTCACTGTCTCCACGTGTCCCCTTGTCCCCGTCTCGCCGTGTCCCCATGTCCCCATGTCCCCGTCTCACCGTGTCCACGGGCCCAAATGGTTAGGGCAGATCCTCCAATTGCCTAGGTCTTCTTGCCTTTAGATCCAGGTCCCGTTCAGAATCGTGTAGAAACTAGCTCGCAACAAGTGTCCTCACGTCAGTCTGCTCACGCGCAGCAAAGAGTGTTCATCACACGTCACCCAAGTGATATTTGTTAACTCTCAAGAGCATTTGAGCTCAATTAAGCGTACATCAAAATGCAATGTGATGGGTTTTTTTTTCTTGTGCAGTCATCGACGACCGGGCTGAGACCACCAACATGCTCCAAGAGAGAACCCGCTTTAATCACAGGCAGTGGCTGAAACCTGGATTTGAACCCAGGATCTCAGCGGTGCCCTCAGCACTCTGACCTCTGACCCACCCGACCACCTCTTCTATGCAAAAAAATCGACTCATGACCCCCGAATCGAATGGAGATGCAATCATCTCCACCCATGGCACTTCACTTGACGGCCTCAAAGTGCACCTAGCCTGGCACAAGTACCGTGGTGCTGTGACAGTCACTTATAGCCAAGTGGCGCCTGTTGATGATGTCTACTCTGCGTGTGGCAGTGGAGATTATGTGCAGTGGTTAGCGCTCTGCGCAGGGTGGCACCACGGTGGTGAGATGTTAACTACCTCGCCTGATATATAGGAGGTCGTGGGTTCAATCCCGACCGTGATGCCTCTATGTATGTTAAACTTCTTTTGCACCGTACGTAGCCAACCGTGCTATATATTTGTAGTCTGCGTCTCTCTCTCCCGGTGGTCGCGTGGATTTTTCTCCAAGGTCCTCTGGGCTTTTCCCCTTCACATTTAGAATCAACGTCACGCGTTTAGAGTAATTTGGCTGCTTTCAATTTCAACACTATACGCCACTTTCATTGAGCTGTCATCTGCGGCCCAGGTCGCTTCTGAAAGAGAGCTATAGACCTCAGCAGTGTGCCTTACCTGGTCAAATATAAATAAGTTGAACACGTAGTAGACTTTCGCGACCATTATCATCCATAATACAGTTCTTTTTCTGGTTAGATCGCATAACGACGCATTTATATTTATCCGATCTAACCCAAAAAAAAACCTGTATTACGGAGAGGAAAAAATCCCTGGCTCCTCTCCCCCCCTTATCTTGCCTAGATGGCCTCTAGCTGCAGCAGCCCCTTTTGCCCACTTCAGCAGTTGTTTCTTGCTGTGGTTGTCTCACCTGATGACGGACGCTTGTGTTGCGCCCGAAACGTGGTGATTTAATTTATTTTATTTTATACCTACGTTACTTTTGCCGAAAGAGCCAAAGAGTAATAAAGAGGAGTTTAATTTATAGTTTCTAATCTGTGAGCAGGTGAGTATCTCTCAGGTTGTTTCCGCTCTCTCTCTCTTCAAGAGTCGGCCTCTGCCTCACACGGCCTCTCGTTACGAGCCGGCTTTGATTATAGACTCATCCCAGGCCTTCCCGGATAGACACGTCGTTATTATTACTGCTGCAACTACTGTCATATATAAAATCTCGTCGTAACTTTGACGACACCCAGAAATGTGCGTGTGTGTGTGTGTGCGCGTGCGCTGGCGGGGGCGGGTGCTCGGGGCGAGCCGTTGTGTAAAATGAAAAAGGGCCACCCTGCGTCGTGTTTAGTCACAAAACACTTCTCTCTTGCGACGCCAAAGCATGCAGATGTCGTCAAATCTGCTTTGGGAGACTCTCAAGCTGGGATCAAGGAAGGGGGGGGGGGCGAGGAGGAGGCTGCCAAGAGCGGAGCTGTAATTGCTCCGCTGTTGGAAGCAGGAAATGACTCGGACAAATTTGGTTCAAGTTTGATGGTGTGTTGCATTATTTCTTGAAAATATAATTGACCACGAGGAGTGTCACGCTCGTTCACGAATACCCAGAAGGCCGAGTAGTGTCTAGAGTCTGTGAAAGGGTCGGAATACGACAGTTGGACCTGCGCGCGCAAATAGTTGACTGGACAAAGCTAAAGCCCAAGACGCTCTGAACGCAGGGGGGGTTGGGGGGACGGGACATCTCTAACGGATCTCGTGCTGCGAAGTTAGCGAAGGTACTCGAGACGACGAATTCATTACCATTCGTGAACGTGTCAGATTTGCGAACATGCGCATGTCGCGCGTACACATATGGACACTTGACTGATCGGGGCGAACGCGCTCACAGAATCGGGCGTCCCCGTCCACGGCCCGCGTCACCTCGCGCATCCTGCCGCCCGCAGGTACAACGCGCTGGTGACAAGCAAGCGAGCGCGCGGCGTCATCGCCGTGTGCTGGCTGCTGTCCTTCGTCATCGGGCTCACTCCGCTGCTGGGCTGGAACAACTGGGACGAGCTGCACGAGTGCGGCAGCGACGGAAGAACGCCGGACGCCACGAAGTGCCGTAACGGCACGCAAGTGCAGTGCCTGTTTGAGAACGTGGTGAACACCGACTACATGGTGTACTTCAACTTTTTCGGCTGCGTGCTCGTTCCGCTGCTGGTGATGCTCGCCGTGTACGCGCGCATCTTCCTGGTGGCGCGAACGCAGCTGCAGCTCATCGAGGTGAGACGCGGGCTTTTTTTGTTTTTTGTTTAATGCCAGAGAAAGGAAGAGATCGACCGCCGCGTCGGCGCTGGTGGTTCAGCGCACGGGGACTCGCGATCCGGAGATTCGATCTCCCGGCGCGGCAGTTTAAACCGATGGGGAGAGTAGTAATAGCAATAGGTTTTACCCTTTAAACTGGCACAAAAAAACTGACACCTTTATTCAAGGCATCATGTTTGCAATAACCACAACACAAGCAGTCAAAATGCAAACAAAAGAGACAACTCTGATAATAATATTGGCACTGTCCTTGAATTTGATTGGTCCACACCCGAGACGGCTTTTCTTAGAGCCTAGTCTCCACTGGTGTTGGACCAGATGACGCCAAAAGGCGTATGGGGAGAGTGTCACGAGTCTCCCCCCAGCCACCAATGCCTCTGTCCGCTCAGTCCGTTTCAAAATCAGGATGTTTATTTATACTGTTGGGAATCCGATGCGCTATAAAGCTCTTTTTGGCAGATGTCCAGGAGTTACGTTTAAAATGGGTTACACCACGGTCAGTAGATCGGCTGGTTACGGGTGGTGGAGTAAAGTGTGGGTACCCTCACCTCTTCCAAGATGTCTGGCCCCGTGTGGAAGAGTAGGCCAAATTCCCTCGAGTGGAAACCCGTCCGCCGGCAATGGCATGAGCAAGCAGTTGCAGGGCAGCACATTTACCCAGTGTGGTTCGCTGTAATGCTACGACGGTAGTGGCGATCATTCGTGACGATTGGAGTTTAGCATGGAGAATGTTGGGATGGCGGTTATTTAATTTCATCATCGTGCTCGTTAACGACGAGTGATTTCAATCGTTAAAGAAAATAGGAAGATTGCGACCATCGTTGTTGACGATTTGATGATGGCGGTGGCCAACGTTGACAATTTGTTGACGATGTCGTGATGGAAATGGAATACATTTGATGACAATCATGATTACGATCGCACATATTTTTATGACACAATTAGCTGAATTTGATGATGATATGGTACTTGAAATTGATGTGATTATTAGGATGACGATCAATCACCATAACAATAATAACAATAATACCTGTAAGGCCCCTTTGACATCTGAGACTCCAGCACAGCCGCAGCTGCTGTTATACGCCCTAACATCTGATGACGTCCAGAAGCTGCAGGTGTCAATAAGTATAAACAATGCGGGGAGAGTTGCCTTTAAAGCCACCAATTGACAGAAACCAAGAATAAATAGCAAATTAAGGAAAAGTCTTTTTTTTTAAAAGCAACACATGTCAGATGTGATTTAAATACGAGGATGGACACTGACTCGCCAAGTGGTTTGGGCAGTGCGACGATTGATGATGATGACTGATGAGTCGACTACAACGAGATGAAAGGCGATTTATGTTGACGACACGATTATCGGCGATGACGACGATCGATGATGATGATGATGATGACAACAACGGCGATTTTTTTTCTTATCACGGTTGCTGAGCGCAGGGCCGAAGGCCCAAAGCGCCAAGCGGCCAGCAACAAGCAGCACTATTGAAGGTATAACGGATAAAGAGTTGTCATACATTGCTTTGAAGTGAAAAAGGTTCTGCGAACCAGGGAAGAGACGATGGGGGGCTACAGGAATTCCAAACTCAAAAGCAGTGCGAGTTCAAGCGGCAGAAAGACAAGCGGTGTGACCTGCGGTACGATCGGAATGATTATTGATGATCATGACAACGATGATAATGATAATTATTTTTTTTACCCTTTTATCTGGCAACAAAACTGACACCTTTTTTTTTACGAGGAGTCATGTTTACATTGACCACAATACCTGCGGTCGGAACGCAAACAAAAAACAACTCTGATAATGTATGTGGCACTGTCCTTGAAATTGATTGGTCCACACCCGAGGCAGCTTTCTTTAGAGCCTCGTCTCACGGTGGTGTTGGACCAGAAGACGCCAAAAGGCGCACAACTCAAAGACAATGCACCATCAGAGTATGAGAGCTCGGGGTAAGCATTTACACCATTGGAAACCTCATTTGCCAGTAACAAAATATGATGGTGTAAATGCTTACCCCAGCTCTCATACTCTGATGGTGCATTGTCTTTGAGTTGTGCGCCTTTTGGCGTTTTCTGGTCCAACACCATGTGAGACGAGGCTCTAAAGAAAGCTGTCTCGGGTGTGGACCAATGAATTTCAAGGACAGTGCCACGTACATTATCAGAGTTGTTGTTTTTTGCTTGCGTTCCGACCGCAGGTATTGTGGTCAATGTAAACACGACTCCTTGTAAAAAAGGTGTCAGTTTTGTTGCCAGATAAACGGGTAAAAAAACAATGATCATATTTTGTAAAAAGGCAAATGAGGTTTCCAATGGTGTGAACGATGACAATATTGATATTGGTGATTGTGAAAACACTGGCGATAAACGATCGCAAAAGATCGACGACGACAATGGCGACGACCACGACGATGACGGTAACAACATTAACGCCGATTACCGGTGAATGCCTCGTGATTCATAACTGGCTCATGGGTTAGGCCCCACCACCCCCCGTAACGACCCGGCCACATGTATGGTCGTTGGGAACACCGGCCGTGACCCGACGCAGCCAATCAAACTCGATGGTCGCGCGGCGCGCGAGCGTCGTTAACGCTTCCGCTCGCTCAACTATTTCCAAAATTAGTCGCGACCCGGGGAAGCCGGTCGGCGTTGGCGGCGGCGTCCCGCGACACGAAACGTTTTATTGCCGGGGTCATGGAACAGTGGCCCGACCCCAAAACATGCGTCACGAGCCGTTGACCGTGACGATGATTACGACGACGGCACTGGCGCCAACGGCAGCCACGGCGACGACGCCGCGGCCAACCGGCGGACGGGTGACGCCACGCGCTATGCCGTTGTCGCATTGAGCAGAAGGCCGGCAGCAAGGCCCCCGGCGGCGACCGCCGGCGCAACCTCCTGCAGCGCGAGGTGCACGCGGCCAAGTCGCTGGCCTTCATCATGGGGATGTTCGCGCTCTGCTGGCTGCCGCTGCACGCCCTCAACTGCGTCCACCGCTTCTGCCCCGACTGCGTGCGCCCGCCCTGGGCCATGTACGGCGCCATCCTGCTCTCGCACGGCAACTCCGTCGTCAACCCCGTCATCTACGCCTTCCGCCTGCGCGAGTTCCGCGCCACCTTCCGCCGGATCCTGTCGCGCTGGGTGCTGCCGCCGGCGCTCCCGTGCGGGCGCCGGCGCCGGCGCGGGAGCCGCGCCCGGCGCCGCCCGCACCGGAGCGATTACGGCGACGGAGGAGGAGGTGGGGGAGGAGGTGGGGGAGGAGGAGGAGGGGGAGGAGGAGGAGGGGGAGATCCCCGCCTGCCACGGAGCGCCGTCGGGCGCGGAGCCGCGACGGCGCTTCGCGGCGACCTCGTGGACGGCGCCGCGGCGTTGTCGGCGGCGTCGTGCCGGGCGAGCGACGCCGGCCTCTCGGCGCCGGGGCAGCGCGCTCGACAGCGCCGGCACGAGCCCCTGCACGTCCGTCGTGTCGTGCTCGGCGTCCTACGTCAAGAACGGCGGCGCCGGGACGCCCGCCGCCCGCGCCTCCGCCTCCGCCGTGACGCTGGCGCCCGACGGCGCCATCGGCGGCGCCGACGGCGTCGCCGATGGCGCCGACGACGCCGTCGTCGTCAGCGTGTGCAGCGACGAGCAGGAGGCGTGCACGGTGACGGTGTCGGGACGCCCGCGGGACGGCGGCTCGCTGAGCCCGCCCGGAAGGAGCCGGGGGGGCGGCGCCGGGGCGGCGGCGAGTTTGGCGACGCCGCGGCAGAACGGATTTGTGGAGGAAGGGGAGCGCGGCACCCAGCTGCCCAACTCGTGACCCGAGCAGGCACGCGCAATCGCCGCCGTCGCGCGCGGCACGCACACGCGACGACCAGCGAGGATTTGGTATCTGGAACGGATGAAATTGATTGCGAGAGGCCCGGTGTAGAAAGCCAGGGCTTACTTTTCGCACCAAAACGTCGTTCGCCAGGTCGCTTGGGAGATTTGGACAGGCGGCCGGCGCGCAGCCGCGTCAAGAGGTTTACCGGGCGTGGTGTGCCGGGTGCGGACGTGGGTTTTTCCGGGTCGTCGACCGAGACGGCCCCACGGCCGATATTACCAAGGCCCCCTTGGCAAAGGTCCAAGAGGCTATTGAACTTACCCACGAAGCAGGAATGAGTGTGCCCGTGTTCGGAAATCGATGGACTCGGCATTACGTTTTGTCGCGAGATGCGTTTTCGTACCGGAGGTCTCTACGTCCCGGCGCATTCCCGATGCAAGTTTCAGATATTGAAAAGCTTTGAGAACACCTGAGGTCAACGTTTGGACCTCTAAGGGACTGGTGTTTTTTTTTTTAAATATATAGATAGAGCTGATCACTTGCCATCTTGTGGGATACACGAGAGGACGTGCGTTGTTCTCTCCCTCTAAGCTAATGCCCACCTTTGAACGCATCGCAGCAGCCTCTTGTTCCTGGTGGGGGTTGGCGGGGAAAATCACAATTCTTGTTAACGATTGTAGGAGGAAACTTGGCGTTGATGATTTTATTTTCTTAGACCTGGCCCCTCCCCCCACCCCTCCACCACTGTGCAAGTCGAGTCGAAGAACGCTCCGCACGTTCCGGTCCGTCAAAGTCATAGCCCGGTCCCACGGCTCGAATGAGCGCTGAGCCGGTGCGCACCTCCCGTTTACATCCCTAAGCCGGTGCTGGGAAATTCCACGTTATTATGGCGAGCCACTTTACGGGAAAACCACCGTTGACTTTCGCAAAAAAGCCGTAGTCATTTTACCGACCCCGCCACCCACCCACCCCAGAGGGGATGAGCGGTTGAGTCAACCGCCACCCGGGATTTGAACTCGCGACCTTCCGATTTGCGAGCTGTTGGCTACTTCGCCTGGGTCACGTGGCCCACTTGGTCGGTAGCGGGCTAACGAAACCCCTGCGCATCTCGTTCACAAACCAGACCCTCCTTCGAAAGCGTGATGGCTCAGCGTTGCAAGAAAACAAAAGCATGTGTTATCCGTATTCTTGGTTCTTTCAGTAAAGTCACGTAGAAGGGAAACGATAAAATCATAAAAAATATAAAACAATAAAAATATCAATCCCTGCCGTCACGAAAGCTTTAAATCATTTGTTACCCGTTACATTTTTTAGATCCCGCTCGCTCCGAGCGAGCGTTTTTGCGCCTGGCACCCGTCGACCGGAGCCGCGCTGAAAACGAACGGGGAGCTGAAACCGCCTCGACTCACCCCAGTGGCTGTCCAAATCGTCTGCCGAGGGTATAAAGCGTGCTCGCCTCAACTTTGTTTATTACGTAGAATCATGTCGAAGCATGATTCTACGTAAATGATCTCTTCCCGTCAAGCGACCCTTCGTTCACACCGTGCGCGCGATCTATGTCGTCACACACCCGCATGTTGGAATGCCCACACGGGAGCGGGCTTCTGGTGCCGTCGGGCCTAAAGTGATCGCATTGAGCGCACTCCTCTAAGCTCTGTTAGTTTTAGGCGTTCTCACAGAATTGTGCGGAATCATCGGCGTGCAATTGCCACATGTCAAAGGAAACCTCGATTGTTGTTTTGTTCACTTCTGCACAGCGTTTCCGCGGTTGGACCGCGTGTTGTTCGGCACGAAAGTCCGACGTTTCGCCCCGTGCGCTGGGATGCTTCTCCAAGGACCTGATTTAAATGTGCTGGGAGCGTGTTGCCGAATATCGTGCGGAACAAACACGCTGTACAAACCGAAAAAAGGAAAAAAATAACGCATCGCAGAACTGAACCTGATTGATTTGATTTAATATTTTTTTTTTACGGTGATCATCGTTTTAAAGAGAAATATGCAAGCGTCAACTCCCCCCTTCTTCACGTCATGCCTTGCGCCGCCGCAAATTGTGTTTACAGGCTGCAGCGCCCCATGGCGAATCGTTACAAACCCGATGCCTTAACCGTGGCGATGCAGCGTGGAGTGCAAGGGAATGGTTGACGGTGCCCCCTGTTGTGCCCCCCCATTGTCCCCCTTTCGTCTCCCCGTCATCCCCTTGTCGTCCTCCCTGTTGTCCCCCCATGTCCCCCCGTTGTCACCCATTCCCCCCTGCATCGTCCCCCCGTCATCCCCCCATGTCCCCCCATCCACACCTCCTGGGGGGGTGGAGGGGGGGGGGCGCAAAAGACCTCCTCCCTCCCTTAGTCCATGGGCCTGAGCAGAATTGGTTCCCACTGAAGATGGCAAATATTCAATCGTACCAGTTTCCTCTACGTGGCGAATTAAAAGCGGATTATGTGATAATGTACTCAGTAAAGAACGACGCCTGTGACTACATCGAGTTGTGTATTGCCGTATAAATTTGCGTCCAATCTGGGACCCCGTGTCGTGCCACAGAGGGCTCCATGCCTCCACGATCGGCAGTTTCGCCAGCATCAGATACAAGGAAGCCTGACTCCGCTAACGAGGCGCCGTTTGTCGAAACCGGTCCAGACTTTGGGGCCGTCCATAAATGACGTCACGCACCTGGGGGGGGGGGGGGGTCAGACATTTGTGACGATGTGTGACGAGGGGGGGGGGGTGGTGGGTTTGAGAAATGTGACGTCACATCAAAATGTGCAACTTTAAATAAATATCGACAACACGTTCTACTTAATTAAATAGACGTTTTAATAAATGTTTTCTACTACAACATCAGAGTGCAGCGCCACATTAAATACGCACTACAATGACAATAGTTTAAAGCGATTTGAAGCATGTTTAATATTTTTTGGGGGGGGGGCAGAGCTTTGTGACGTCATATCTGAGGGGGGGGGTCTGACTTTTTGTGACGCCGTGTAACGAGGGGGGGGGGGTCAAATCGCGTGACGTCATTTATGGACGGCCCCTTTTCTTGCCAGTGCTGCTGAAATCACGCGCTCACAGGAGGCCGTGGCGGCTGATGGGTTGTGTCGGAGAGGTTTATTTGTTGTTGTTTTCCTCGGAGAGACGGGTACAGCGTATGAAGCAGACGTATTTTGTTGTTGTTGCTTATTTATATTGTTAAGACACGAGGTTTGTTGCATAATTCGCACCTTATTGTCAATGTATAGAAGTTGGTGCCACTGACGGTTTGTCATCTCAGGTGGTAGCCAACGAGCAACGAGGTTTGGTCAGCTCCACGGACTCCCGTCGTCACGTGCCACGGCTCGACCACCCGGCCCCCTCCTTTTGAAAGTACTCAACGCTCATTTCACGTTGGGAGCCAAGCCACAGCGTCCCATTAAACACGCGAAGTTGGGCCATCTTTGGAAATTTGGTTGGAACATTGGACGAACGTTGGGCCAACGTTCCACATTTCCTGGTATCTTGCCAATGGCCGGTTACACACACTTATTATTATTTTGATTGCTATTTGTTAGACCTTATTGTAATTTTTATCATATTTATTATTACTACTACTTTAGTTCAACTTATTTAACACATTTTATACTTATAAAAAAAACTCATGGTGAACAGAAAACAATCAGTTGTATTTGTCTGCATGTAAATCATATCAAATGTGTCTTGTGTAATAGTGTGGGCATGACACCAACAGCCAGGGAACGTCTGTTTTTTGTTTATTTCTTTGTGTACGCCCCACATAGCACCTTGATGACAATGGAACGTCACCGAACAAACCATTCCGCTCGTCTTCTCGCGGACGTTAAAAACGTCAACTTAGTTACGTGACACAGCGATTGATTCGATCTCTTCCCACCCCCACGATTGCTGTGTGCGCTCAGGTTCACACAGGAATGCCTCCCCCCCCACCCCCCCCACACAGCCCGCTCTCTTCTACGCTCTGCTAAGAGAGAGGTCACTGTTACCGGCGACGCGGCAGACGCGTCTAATTGGGGGTCACGGGAGCATTCATAGCGGCGTAGTCCACAAGCCAGAGCGGATACCGGAAACCACCTAATAAGGAAACGCAACCTTAGTCGCACCGATGAACGCACACGGCAAATGCACGAGTGAATTTCGAGATAACAACCCCACTCGTTTCAAACGGTTTATCGCGAAATTCAATGTGAGTGGCCACGAAAGAAAATTGGAAACCACTGCAGTTATGCCAGCTGCGGTGGTGCCGGTAAGTGAAACATTTTGGGTCCGGGCACGTGGACTAAGCAGAACGGAGCGAGGAGGCTCGACCCATCTGAAGGTCGTGGAGGTCACCTCGCGTCCACAGCGCAGCAGCTGCGGGATCCTGGCGGAGGGTGGAAAGCGATGGCAGTGAGGTGGCGGTGGCGTCATCAACGGCTTTGGCCACGGTGACCTCTTGACCTTGACACAACTGCAGTGTGGTATCCTCTGCACGAGCTTCACCCGTGCGCGTGTGCGTGCGAGTATTTGTGTGTTTATGCTCGTGCGCGATCCCATGCTTGTTTTGTATTTACACAGTTGGTAAGGTAACCGAAGGCAAAAAACACGGCAGCAAATTCCCCACAGTCCAAGTGACTTGCGAATCAGTCTGCAGCTGGACTGGGTGTGTCGGTCGAGGTGGTGAGTAGGGGTTGGTTGCCAAGATATAATTTTTCACGACACGATAGGAATTGTCGCCACGTGACGATTATCCCGAAGCCAGTTTCCCGTGTAACCGTATTTCGCATTTTATTTGCGATTTTTACGGAGCGTTGCTTGCTATGTTTTTCGAGTATAAATAGGGATCGCGTGACATTTGTAAGTTCTTCAATTGCAGTTCACTCATCGTTATTCTGCCGCAAAGTGTTTACAGTCATTGCAACGTTACACCCTGTAATGCTTATAAAGCGCATCGGCCGTTAGTGGCATCCACGATATTTCAAGTAAATAAACGATGAAAATGTACAATTATGACT